AGACAGATGGTACCTAAGAATTAAAGGTTGGGGAAAGATTTTCCAATCAAATGGACCTAAGAAACAAGTGGGGGTAGCAATCCTAATATTCAAAAATTGGACTTTAAACTAAAATCAATCAAAAGAGATGAAGGATGTTCACTTCCTACTCATCACAGGAGAAATCCATCAGGATGAAGGCTCAATTCTGAACATTTATGCCCCAAATACAAAGGTATCCACGTTTGTAAAAGAAACATTACTAAAACTCAAATCACACATAAAACCGCACACATTTATAGTGGGAGACTTCAACACCCCACTTTCACCACTGAACAGGAACACCAGACAGAAACTTAGCAAAGAAACAAAGGAACTAATAGAAGTTATGGCACAATTGGACTTAAAAGATATCTCTAGAACATTCCATCCAGCCGGGCATTGGTGGCACACGCCTTTAATCCCAGCACTCAGGAGGCAGAGGCAGGAGGATCTCTGTGAGTTCGAGGCTAGCCTGGTCTCTAGAGTGAGTGCCAAGATAGGCTCCAAAGCTACACAGAGAAACCCTGTCTTGAAAAAACCAAAAGAAAAAAAAAGAATTTAAGAAAGACACATAAGAAAGTGTTCAACATCCTTAGCCATCAGGGAAATGCAAATCAAACAACTCTGTCAGAATGGCCAAAATCAAAAACACCAATGACAATTTATGCTGGAGAGGATGTGGAGAAAGGGGAACACTTCTTCACTGCTGGTGGGAGTGCCAACTTGTACAGCCACTTTGGAAATCAGTATGGCAACTACTCAAGAAAATGGGAATCAGTCTACCACAAGATCCAGGAATTCCACTCTTAGGCATACACCCAAAAGAAGCACAATCATACAAAAAGGACATCTGTTCAATGATGTTCTTAGCAGTACTATCTGTAACAGCCAGAAACTGGAAGCAGGCTAGATGTCCCTCAACTGAAGAATGGATAGAGAAAATGTGGTACATTTATAGAATGGAGTACTACTCAGCAGAAAAAAACAATGGAATCTTGAAATTTGCAGGAAAATGGATGGAACTAGAAGAAACCATTCTGAGCCAGGTATCCCAATCACAAAAAGACAAACATGGTGTGTACTCACTCATATGTGTATTTTAGACATAGAGTAAAGGATTACCAGCCTACAATCCACACTGCCAGAGAAGCTAGGAAACAAGGAGGACCCTAAGAGAGACATACATGGTCCCCTCGAGAAGGGGAAAGGGTCAAGATCCCCTGAGCAAATTGAGAGCATGGATTGAGGGGGGAGGAATCTAAGAGAATGAGAAGGGAAGAAGAGCAGAGATGCAGAGGACATGAGGGAGCAGAAAGGTTGAGTTGGGGGAAGAATAGAAGAAAACAAGAATGGAGACACCATAATAGAGGAAGACATTTTAGGTTTATAGAGAAATCAGGCACTAGGGAAATGTCTGGAGATCTACAAAGATGACACCAGCTAACAATCTAAGCAACAGAGGAGAGGCTTCCTTAAATGCCCTCCCTGATAATGAGATTGATGACTAACTTATAGGCCACCTGATAGCCCTCATCCAGTAGCTGGTGGAAGTAGAAGCAGACACCCATAACTAATCACTGAATTGAAGTGGAATCCAGATGCAGAGAAGGATGAGTGAAGAGCAAAGGGGTCCAGACCAGGCTGGTGAAACCCACAGAAACCACTGACCTGAACATCGGGGAACTCTTGGTCCCCAGACTGATAGCTGTGATACCAGCATGGGAGTGGTCCAGACCCCAGGAACATGGATTTCATTGAGGAAACCTTGGAAATCTACAGGACGTCCTGTAGCAGTTCAGTACTTATCCCTAGCATAGGTGTGGACTTTGGGAGCCCATTCCACATAGAGGGATACTCCCTGAGCCAAGATACTCCCCACCTTCAAGAGCCAGATGAACAATTTCAAATAGTCAAAACCTTTTTTTCCTCCCTTGAGCCTATCCCGAAGGATATGATAGACTCTAATGACACCCTATGGAAGGCCTCACCATCCAGGGGGAACAGAAAGGATATGTGATAGGTAAGGTTTTAGTTGGGGTGGGGGGGTGGAAGGGGAGGATGGGAGGGACAAGGGAACTGGGATTGTCATGTAAAACAATCTTGTTTCTAATTCAAATAAAAAAGATGGACAAAAAAAGAAGAGTTGTTACCCACATTTTTGTCTGGCCACATTTTCTGGTCCCATTCTGATTGACCCTCTGTACACAAAGTCTCAACACACTGTGTAACCCCTCAGACAATTGAAGTAAAAACAGCAAGATAAGCTGGAATTCAAAAGACGCCCATGGAAGAAGGGACAATCATGCCCCACCTTCAAGAGCCAGATGAACAATTTCAAATAGTCAAAACCTTTTTCTCCTCCCTTGAGCCTTGAGTGAATTCATTGAGAAAGGAGTTTATGGTGTGTTTTTAGGAGACAGAAATACTAAGGAGGCATTATAGAATATGTTTTTAAAATACATTTTTTAAAAATATGGTAAGATTTGTCTGAGAAAACCACCTGGAGATTCCTCCCCCACTTCTTCTCAGGGCAAAGGGCAGGGGGGAGCAGGGTCAGCTCTCCGTGCCATACTGCACAATATTTTGGTGATAAAACTTCATTACATTTGAAGCATCTGCAGCAAGTCTGGAGCAATCATTAAATACAAAGAAAAATTGCCAGTGTGCAACAGAATCCAAGATAAAGTGGCAGAGGCCAGCTGTAAAGAGGGCTGTGTCAGCAGAAACCGATTAGCAAAGAAAAATTGCCAGTGTGCAACAGAATCCAAGATAAAGTGGCAGAGGTCAGCTGTAAAGAGGGCTGTGTCAGCAGAAACCAGAAACCAAGCCAGAGCTATTCCCCAAGTAGATAGGATAGTTACAACTAGGACCCCAAACTCTTGGGGACCGACTAAAACAGTAAAAGACCCTTGTTGCCACAGGAGATTAGAGATGGTGTTTGCCTGCATGCATGATACCATTCAGTACCCTTCAAAAATACAGTAGCTTCCTGTCACAGACCTGCTCACCTGTGAAACTTGCCTGGTGATAGCGGGGAGGGGGTTTCACAGCACTGGCTAGGCAACAGTCGGTGAGAAAACACCTTTTGCCCAGACCCCCAGGTTTAGCATGGCAGGACACTGAGTTTCCAGACTCTCAGCTAGTTGCTGATATATGTGTGAAACCTTGTGCACTCAGAAGAAGAATTTAGATGGGGCATTCTCTTTACTCATAAAACTAAACTCCTAGGATGTAACACAAGGGAGAACCTTAACTTTTTGGTTTTGTTTTATGTTGTTATTTTGGTTTGAGTTTTTGCTTTGTTTTGTTTCAGGGGTCTGCAGCAAACTTTAGTGTAAACAAATGCTATATAACAGGAACTGTAGACTTAGCAGTCCACAGGCCAGTGCCAACAGCAGACGTAGAAAGACTTCTTGGGTTGGTCTTTCCCAGTGGCTGCATGCCTTAAGAGAGGCAGTACAAAAAGACCTGGAAGTAGTGTCACCCTTTTTTCAGCCTTTGTCTGAGGCCCAGGATCTTAGCTGAGGCAGTCTGTGGGGGTTAGGGATGGGCTGAGTTCTGCTTCCATCAGTGAGGGTGAGCCACATGTTGGGTGTCAAAGGGTCAGAGAGCAAGTCTCATCTGGGATCATTGGTTGGATCTAGGTACCCAAGTAATACAAGTATTTCATTTAATCTACATGGACATAGGAATCTTCACAAGAGACTGAAGTCTAAAGAAATGACTAAGGCCTGATATTTTGTGCTTTTAGACAGTAAAGAATAAATCTGGGAAGGAATGACAAGGCAAATGGATCTCTAGACTAACAATTCTATTGAGTTATTAAGAAATACACAGAGAAGGGTTGTAATTTGAGAGTCACTTCACAGTGTGTTTATTAAAATTGGACTAACTAGCTGCAGTCAGGAGTCTCTGGCTATGCTGCAGCCTTGGTGTGTGAAGGATATTTCCAGGAAGAATCTTCAGGGTTTGCTGGATATGGACATGGGCAGGTCAGATGACCTTTTCTAAAGTTGTGTATTTAGGTTTCTGGAAACCCATATTTCTAGAAACCCAGATATCCCTTTAAGAAACATATTGGTAAAGTTTTCTGCTTAGTGGCAGAAGATGTGAATCACCATTAAGAGTGAAAAGAAAAGTGTTGGTTCAGGAACCCCAGACCAAGTTCTCAACACAAAGGAGATTTATTTGCCCCAGAGGGACAGAGGACAGGGAATACAAGGCAAATAAAGGAGATTGAGATGAGGGCGAAGGAGAACAAGAGGGGGCAGGGATACTTGTCCCAGGCGTGGGCCATAGGAAAATGTCAGTTTATAAAGGTAAAGGGGGAAACCTGTGTCAGAATGAAGTATTTAATTTTAATTGGGCAAGTTAATAGGTGAGCCAAAGGAGGCTTTAATTGCTGGACTGCAATACTTTGATAGCTGGACCTTGGTAGTCTCAGGAGGAGGAAGTGGCCAAATAAAGGGAATAGACTTTAGTGGCTAACTTTTAGGAGAAAAATTTAATGTTTTGTTGTTGTTGTTGTTGTTTGCAAAGAAAAGAGAATCAGGGACAAGGCCTGCCAGAGCCATGCCTGTCACACTCAAGCTGGCAGAGTCCCTTCAAAGAGCACTGGCTGCTCTTCTAGAAGATCTGGGTTCAGTTTCCAGCATCCACATAGTGGCTCATAGTCATCTGTAACTTCAGTTCCAGAGGATCTGATGCCCTCTTCTGGACACTGAGGGCACTTCACACATGTGGGGCACAGACATTCACACAAAATACCTGCACATAAAATAAAAATAAATAACTGAAAATATTTTTTAAAGTTTCACTGTTCTTATTTTTAGAAATGTTTCTTGTTTTCTATCAGGTTTTGTTGCTTTTCGGCTTCTAGAAAACTTTGTTTTGCTTTATTCTTAATATCCGAAGTATGTGGGAAATTTACTGAATTCCAGTTTGTCAGTATCTTACGGATGAGATTTTATTTTCTTATTTTTAGAAAATGTTATTTTGTATTCTATATTTTCTAAGTGTAGGTGAGTGACATTTCAGAGATTGTGAAGAAATTTCCACAGGGGACCTTGACCAGCATGGCTCCTCCTCGTGTGTTGCCCTTGCCTTCCTCCCCACTTTTCTGAGAGTGTGGAAGCAGGATGGTGTGCCTCATATTTCCTGAACCACTACAGTCTATAGAAGAGCCATGTTGTGCATGAGGCCCAGTCTGTGGGAAGATGCCAACAACTGCTTTTTCTTTTTCTTAATGTAGTAAGGAAGGGCAAGATGGATAAACACCAATGCTCCAGAATTTGTTCAATAAATTTTAAATTTATTTTAGGCATGGGTCTTTTGCCTGTGGAGGTCAGAAGAGGGTTCTACAGATCCCCTGGAACTGGAGTTACAGACAGTTGTGAACTGCCTTTAGGTGCTGAGAATTGAACCTGGGTCCTCTGGGAGAGCAGCAAGTGTTCTTAACTACTGAGCCAGCTCTCCGGATCCTTGTTCTATATTTTTAAGATTATTACTTTAATTCATGTTAGAGTTTTTCTTAAAAATCATTTCCTCTGTTAGATCCAGGAATTTTATATCTCCCTGCTCATAACTACGAAAACAATGCATGCCTTGTCTTAGTTAGGATTTCAATTGCTGTGACAAAACATGACCAAAAGCAACTCCAGGAAGAGAGGGTTTATTTCAGCTTACAGTTCTACATCCCAGTTCATTACTGTACGAAATGAGGGCAGGAATTCAAACAGGGCAAGGACCTGGAGCCAAGGGCGGATGCAGAGGCCATGAAGGGGTACTGCTTACTGGCTTGCTCTCCATGGCTTGCTCAATCTGCTTTCTCAGAGCACCCAAGACCACCAGCCCAGAGGTTGCATACCTCATCCCTGTGGGACAGGCCTCTCATATTGATCATTAATCAAGATAATGGCACACAGTTTAGATCAGGGGCCAGTCTTACTGGGGCAAAGTTTTTCAGTTGTGGATCCCTCTTCTCAGACAACTCTAGCTTTTGCCAAGTTGATACAAACTATCCAGCACATGGATAGTTAACAATGATTCAGAGACCCACACATATGTGTGCGCATGCACTTGTGTCTTGCAGTGGACAGTGGTCTAGGAAGAGCTGTGTGAGAATTTACTTTGGGGCATTAGGCTCCTTCTCTAGCTCAGGTGAAGTTTAGTGATGTCAGCTGGGAGGATTCACCATAGCACTGCATCCCGCTAGCCCCATGACATGATTTCTGAGCTGAGCTTCACAAAGACCCACAGAGTGTGTAGTTTCTCTGCCCTTAGTGCTGATAGCTTCTACTTGTCCCAGGAATGCTTACACCTTACCCTGAAGTCCTAACTGGTGTTAATTCTCCAAATGTACTTTCTACAGAGCAACAGCTTTGCCCTTTGATTTGCAAGGTCTAGGTCATCATTTTCTGTTATTCATTCTGTCTTGCCATTTCCTTTACATGGGGCAAAGTCAACTAAAGTTCAATTTATCACAAACCTCTTGATCTTGAAACAATCTTGCCTTCAGGGAAGTGGGCTGGCAGGTGGGACAGTGTTCTTGACAGGACATTGTCCTGTAGACAGAAGTTTCTGTCCCACCCAGTCCCACAGCCGTTTAGTCCCAAATAAGCACACAGAGGCTTATATTAATTATAAACTGTTTGGCAATGGCTCAGGCTTCTTAATGGCTAGCTCGCTCTTAATTATTAACCCATTTCTATTAATCTGTATATTTCCACATGGTCTTGGTTTACCAGTGATGCCCAGACCTCTTGCTCCCTCAGCAGCTACATGGCATCTCCCCCGAGACTCTCTGTCTTCCCTTCCCAGCATTCTCCTAGTCTGGTAGCCCCACCTATATTTCCTGCCTGGCTACATCCTGCCTGTCCATTGGTCAATACAGCTTTTTTCATCAACCAGTAAGAGAAACATATATTCACAGCATACAGAAGGACATTCCCCATCATTGTCCTTTTGGAGGTTGTACCACAAGACCCTGTGATGACAGGATGACTTGAAAAGCTCCTTTGAACCTCCCTCCCATACCAGACACATGGGTCAGGGACCCTGATAGCTGAAGATCTGGCCTTGGGTTCCCTGTGTCTTGTGCAAAGCTCTCCAAGGATCCCCTCTGGACGGCATCCTATTGTCCTTTGGAAGCAGGAGATGTGTCTGTTCCTTTGGAACACATGCTTTCCCGTCATACCATACTCCAGCTGTGAGCCCTGTGCTTCTGGTTGGCCACTTTGGTGGTCAGAGTGAAGAAATGGCTGACTACTGTGGCTGCGGGGGAATCTCTCAGATTCGCAGTGCCCTTAGTGTCCAGAGTTGCAAGCACAGTCAAGACACCGAAACCACTTGAAATCACTGTCTGCCCTTTGTCCTTGGGCAGGTCCATTTTATTGTGCCCTTAGAGGAGCAAATGCCATTCCTTGTTTGTTTTGCAAATTGGCCACGGTCTTGCTGTTCCAGGGGACCAAACTCCTCGTTGGGGTGTTCTATTTTGGGCTAGCAACAGGTGGAATGATACGAGGAGGGGAAAGAAGTTGAAATCATTTCCAACATCTGGCCTTTCTCCAGGGGCACTGGCAGCTTGGGGGGTGGGGAAAGGAGGAGACAGCGGCGGTGGCGCGGCGCAGGCAGGGAGAGAGCCTACGGAGCCACCCGTTAGGTTTTAGGGGTTGGAAGACCTTGGCGAGAGCCTATCCTTACAGGGGCGGGACAGGGCTGGAAGGAAGGGGCGGGGCCACGAAGGGAGGGCCGACTCGCTACTAATCCAGCTGCTTCTCTTTGTGCACCAGGGTACAATCACAGTTTACATAGCTCCGCTGAGGCCAGACAGCACCAGCACCATGCCCGTGACACTGGGTTACTGGGATATCCGTGGGGTGAGAGAGGGGTCTGACAGCCCGAGTGCGATGGGGACGCCGGGCGGGAACGTGCGGAGTAGTTGGGAGCTGATTTGGGAAATGGATCCTCCTTGTAAGGCCTTGCTGGATTCAGCCTGTACTTCTCAGAGCTCTAGATGTTTGGGACCAGTCTCTCTCCCTCTCTCCTCCCCGTGCGTGCGTGCGTGCGTGCGTGCGTGTGCGTGCGTGCGTGTGTGTGTGTGTGTGTGTGTGTGTGTGTGTGTACTGATAGAGAAAGTGTAGGAATTCAAATATGGAGAAGAGGTCACATAGTCAGGGGGTCCAGTGCCTCTCTGATCAGCTTTGTGTCCTAGTTATGTCACGCCATCCGCCTGCTCCTGGAATACACAGAGACAAGCTATGAGGAGAAGAGATACGCCATGGGGGACGGTAATGACACCTTCTTAGACTCTTGCCCAACTTCTGATTGGTGGCCCTCAAGAGTCCCTGTTCCATGCCTCTTGTTGCCCAGATCTGTGGGCCTCTTCCATCGAGGACTAGAGTCTACACCTTTAAGAAACCCCCGTGAGGGCAGTTTGGTCTTCCAATGCAGGCTATGGCTTTTCCTCTATTTGTGATTTAGCATTTGCCTAAGCCTTTTGTAAACCCTAGATATGCTTGCTAGTCTCACAGTCCCAAATACTCTTCACTCCTGTAACCTTGGAATATGACACTCTGTATGAGAGGTGCAGATTCCCTGCCTCAGGGTGAAGGTGAGGGGGTGGGGATGGGGGTTGCCTGAATCCTTGCTCAGGTTCCTATAGGAGGGTGGGAACTAGGGTGATTTCTTTTCACATTCTCTTGCCCCTACAGCTCCTGACTATGACCAAAGCCAGTGGCTGAATGAGAAGTTCAAGCTGGGCCTGGACTTTCCCAATGTAGGTGCAGGGAAGGGCAGGTCTGGGGAGGGCATGGCGTCCTCACCTCATCTCCTCACCTGGCTGAGGGGGGTTGGGATCAGAGCATCATTCAGCTCTCCTGCTCCCATCTCTGGTGGCTGCACAGTGTTTCTGGGACGGGCTGTGTCCCAGCTCTACATGTCATCTGTCCCAGCTCTTCCATTCAGTGTGCACTGTGCTGGTGGAGGGCTTTCCATGCCAGGCACACTGAATGCCAGGCCCTGTGCCTGTCCTTACCAGAGAAGGGGTGCAGGGTCCCCATATCCCATCTGACCATCCCTGCTTGTCTTTCCAGCTGCCCTACTTAATTGATGGGTCCCACAAGATCACCCAGAGCAACGCCATCCTGCGCTACCTTGCCCGCAAGCACAACCTGTGTGAGTGGGGCTGGCTGCAGGGTGGGGCGTGGTGGTCACCTCCCTGGGCTTGGCTGGGGTGGGCTATGCTGAGAGTCTCTGCTGTGTGTGCTGCAGGTGGGGAGACAGAAGAGGAAAGGATTCGTGTGGACATTTTGGAGAACCAGGTCATGGACACCCGCATTCAGCTTGCGATGGTCTGCTACAGCCCTGAGTTTGTGAGTCACCCAGTGGATGGTGAAGACAGGGTTAGGGGTTAAAGTCCTATATTCACATCGGTATTGGGCAAGTTTAGCATTTTTACTCTAGTGTTGCTGATTGTCTAAGGACTTACTTATCCCAGCAATAAAGTGGCCTTCATGAATCCAGAATCGGGCCAAATAACCACTGTGAGTCAGTTTCTACCACTCCTAGGATATGGTTTGGATTCCTCAAGCTAGAAATACAGTTTTTAAGCATTAGAATATGTATTTAGAGTCCTTTTCATCTCCTTTAATTTCCATAGGCCATCTGTCCCAGCTATTCTTGTCTGTTCCTAGAATATGAGTTAAAATAAAGAAATGGCCCCTGACATCTCTCAGAGCTTAGCCATCTCTCCCTCCAGAACTGTGCCCTCAGTAGCCATAGGACTGCTTCCCAATAGGCAACTGGGGGTGGGGGGGGTAGGGGGGTGGCCAGAGAGACAATGTCCAATGCATTCTTTCCTTTCAACATCAAACATTCCTTCACTTTATAATAACGTACCCAAATATCCACTGTTCTGCCATCCACTAGGAAGAGTTTTGCCTTCACCCCTGAGATCTTTTAGTATTTTGCTTCTTTGATGGCATAGGCCATCTGAGTCCAGAGTGTGTCAGGTACATAGTCCATCCCTCCTCCCACCACACCTCAGGAGAAACGGAAGCCAGAGTATTTAGAGGGTCTCCCAGAGAAGATGAAGCTCTACTCGGAGTTCCTGGGAAAGCGGCCATGGTTTGCAGGGGACAAGGTAAGGAGAGGAAGGTTGGTGGGGAGGAGGAGCTGCCATTCTTTCCAGGCTGGCAGATCCCATCCCACTGATCCTGCTTCCTGCAGGTCACCTATGTGGATTTCCTCGCTTATGATGTCCTTGACCAGCAGCAACTGTTTGAGCCCAAGTGCCTGGACGCCTTCCCAAACCTGAAGGACTTCATGGCCCGCTTTGAGGTGACTCCTGATCCTGCTTCCTCTTGGGTGTCCTTCCTTCCTCCCTTTCCAGCATGAAAATTAAAAGAGTGGTTAGCATTTCTTGAGCACTGGCTTTCTGAGAGGACCCGTGTTCAGCACAGGATCGAATGTATCACTACAAGATTACTATAAGGTGGATAGAATTACCAGACCCCTGAGACCAAGATGCAGGGTAAATCACCTGTGCAAGCCTGTTCTGTGTAGGCCCCGGACTTCTATGGGCGATGCGCTTCCTATTTTGTGCTGAAAAGAAGAGCCTCAGGCCTTTGTTCAACCAGAGTTTCCTGTCTGGGACCCCTTTGAGAAGTAGAATGTGATGGAATTGTGCAAACAACTGGCTTTTTAGGTGTTAGCAAGGCAAGGGACAGCAGGGTTCATGTGACACAGAGAGTCTTCCTAGCTGACCTGCAGAGCGAGCACTTCGCTTCTCACATCCCCACTGTGCACACATGGAGGGCTCAAGCTGTGAAAGGTGCTTGGACTGAGTGAGGCCCTCATAGGAGGGTGGCATCCCTGTGTTTGATACCTCCCCAAATCTGCTTTATTAGACAATTGAAAGCATTAACTTAATGTGCGTTTGTGGTGTTGGTTTCGTCTCTTTCTTTCTTTTTTCTTTCTTTCTTTTTTCTTTCTTTCTTTTTTCTTTCTTTCTTTTTTCTTTCTTTCTTTCTTTCTCCCCTTCCTTCCTTCCTTCCTTCCTTCCTTCCTC